TCTAACATATATAAAGCATGATAAAACATTAGACGTTAAAAAAAACCTTCCCTATACAGAAGGCTTGGGGGGGGGGGTCAGATAACTCCACACCCTACAACATTTCTCTGCTGAAAATAGGGACATCCCACCATACCCTCCAACATTTCTCCTATGAAAATCGGGACGTCCTAAGAGAAAGTGGGGCATTCTGGGATCAAATCAGAAACCAGGATGGTGTTAGGGATGTGTAAATTGATCTCTCTACACACAGAGAAGCCTTGACACTGCGATGGTTTTATGGTCCTTATTTATTGCTGTTTATACAACCCGGGTGGGAGCCCACATAAATCAGTCTTCCTCGGAGCTGTCAGTTGGGAGCACTGACTTCCTCTTCCGTCTAAAACACAGAAAGCGTGGGATCTTTATGACATTTTCCCTGCATACCCAAAGTCTCCCAAGATGCCTTGAGTGCAGAAATTCATGCATCTGCTCCGCCTCTGACCCTGAACTTAACCCTTGCAACGCCTGTGAATCTGCCTGTTCTCTCTCCTGTGTCTCTTCTTCCTGCGTTCCCTCCTCCCCCTGCATGGGCTGGGAATACCAATAACCCCTGCTCACTCCATTGCCTCCTTCCGCTTCAGAAACTCCATCTTCAATCCCATCCTCCTGCCTCTCATACAGCTCAGTCTCACGGGTGTAGCTGATGTCAGAGTGCTCTGAGGGCACCCTGACAGATGGCTTCTGTAAAGCGGGGACATCCATGGAAAACAGGAACACTTGCAGGGACTGTAGCCTGCTGAAATTTAGTTGTATTCCACCAAAATACTGAAGTAGTTTATGAAGTGTGTAGCTATTTGCATTATTTCCACAAATATGACACTGAATCAGAGATGGTCAGATGTGAGGGGAGCAATGTGGCCTAGTCTACATGAGCCAACAGACACTTGCCTTTTGGGAAGAAAGGACAGAACAAGAGAGGCAATCAAAGACCACATCAGGGCCTAGTTCAGTTGGCTAAAGACAGGGCTAACTGAAGATACAAACATCTGGTGCCTGCTGCTGGCTGGTTCAATAGGCTGGTTATTTTGCTTTGTGATCTGCTGTGTTTTCTAAATGTTTTTGACTGCTTTGAAGAGTCGAGTAAAGAAGTGGGATATAAAACAAAAGGCTGTGGAAGCCTTTCCCCCTACCACCAATGAACTCCAAAAGTCTGCAGTAAACATATTCTTTGTTTTTTGTTTTTTTTTTAGACATGGATGACTGTTTTCAATGTCCAGAAGATCAGTACCCAAACCTTGGCCAGGTTATATGTCTTCCAAAAGACATAAGCTTCCTGTTTTACGATGAACCTCTGGGGATCAGTTTGGTCACGCTTGCTCTTTTATTGACTTTCACTACAGCTTTGGTGCTTAGGATCTTCATCAAGCACAAAGACACTCCCATAGTCAAAGCCAACAATCAGACCCTCACCTATGTTCTCCTCCTAGCCCTCGTTCTCTCCTTCCTTTGTCCTTTGCTATTCATTGGCCAGCCCACAAAAATAACCTGTCTCCTTCAACAAACTGCTTTTGGAGTCATCTTCTCAGTAGCAGTGTCTTGCATCTTAGCAAAAACAACTATAGTGGTTCTAGCTTTCATGGCTACCAAGCCAGGCTCCAGAATGAGGAGATGGGTGGGGAAACAACAGGCTACCTCCATTGTTCTTTTCTGCTCCCTGATTCAAGCCATTATTTGTAGTGTGTGGCTGGCAACGTCTCCCCCATTCCCAGATTTGGATATGCACTCTGTGACTAAAGAAATTGTTTTGGAATGTAATGAAGGGTCAGTCACCATGTTCTACAGTGTCTTGGGCTTCATGGGCTTGCTAGCCATTGTCAGCTTCACTGTGGCTTTCCTAGCCAGGAAGTTACCAGACAGTTTTAATGAAGCCAAGTTCATCACCTTCAGCATGTTGGTTTTTTGCATTGTGTGGCTGTCCTTTGTTCCAACCTACCTGAGTACCAAGGGAAAGTACATGGTGGCTGTGGAGATCTTTTCTATTTTGGCCTCTAGTTTTGGGTTACTGGGCTGCATCTTCTTCCCCAAATGTTATATCATTTTGCTGAGGCCAGAGTTAAACAGCAGGGGACAGCTTATTATAAGAAAGAGTTAAAGCATAAATAAGTCTATTTGATGTAGCAAATCATAACTGGACTAAATCTCCTTGAATTCATTTTTCTTCATCTCAGAATGCCTCAAGCCAACAAAACTGTTCTCCAAAGCCAGCAGAACAGCCCTGACAAATTACAGTGGTACCTCGGTTGTCGAATGTAATCCGTTCTGGAAGACCTTTGACTTCCAATACACTAGACAACCAAGGTGCGGCTTCCAATTGCTTACAAGAGCTTCTAGCCCTCAGCGGAAGCCACGTCAGACGTTAGACATCCGAGGTACATTCAATAATGGAAAAAATTACTTCTGGTTTTTCGGCATTCGAGAACTGAAACAGTCAACAACAGAGGCATTTGGGAACCAAGGTACCACAGTACCTCATGTATCCTAGACTGAGAGAGCTGACTACATATTTTGGAAACTCCATTATTTACAAGGTCTTCTATTTCTTACTTCTAACTTCACCAATACACTACTGGTCCATTTTTATCTAATGAAAGGAAATTTAAAATTGCACTTCTGAGTATGTGACAAATACATTTTCTTCAGCAATTCCAGAGGGAATTCTTAGCACTGGATGAATAATTACATTGCTTCTTGATGATTAACAGGGCTATAATTTGAGTCTGATTTTGGATACTCCCAAATTGCGTCATTTTGGGAAAATAAACTACCATTTAAACAAGACGGTTTTAACTCAGAAAAGAGAAAACGTGGTTTCTGCATAGAACAGTTTCCTTTGTATTGAGAATGGTGGTTTTAGTGGTCTTGCTTCTGGAACTGTTTTCATACAAAGTATGTCAGGCTCACATAGTAAAATGCAGGCTTCAAGATCCACACCGTCCACTTCACATGTATCATCAGCCAGGAGAGTTCCTCATTGGTGGCATTGTTTCCCATGGTGGTTTCATCTCCTCTCCAGCAAAATTCACTGAGGAACCCCCACCAGCACTGCCTGAAGAGCTTGTGTGAGAACTAAGTCAGTCATTCATTACAGCAGAGGAATGATCAAACCTAGAGATGCAGCCTCAGAATAATGACTGAGGCTGCAAACCTCAACCCATTTACCTTGAGATAACCACTTTTGATTTCAGTGGGACATATGCTGATGCAAAAATCCATAGGAATCTCTTGTGAATTAAGAGAATCCTGTTGAAGCTCCCATTTCTCAATAGGGAAATGAATATAAATGTATTGAAATGTATACATGTGTGTGTGTGTGTGTGTGTGTGTGTGAGAGAGAGAGAGAGAGAGAGAGAGAGAGAGAGAGATAACCCTTTTGAAAAGCCAGTTTTGATAGACTTTATCTGAACAGGAGTGTTAGTGAGAATGAATTAAAAGAACCTGTTCTGAACCTGAATGCTCATATCGTTTCATTTTCTGATCTTAGGCTAAAGTTTGTTTCACAATGATGGTATATATTATGAAGCATAGAATTCTGTGAATTACAACAACCATCACTGCTTCATGAATAGCAAAGGGGTCATTGCAGGAGAGAGCCGTGGCGGCAGCAGGAGGCCCCATTAGCTAAAGTGGTACCTCAGGTTAAGAACAGTTTCAGGTTAAGAACAGACCTCCAGGACAAATTAAGTTATTAACCTGAGGTACCACTGTATCTCAAGGGCTGTCACCAGGAAGATTAAGTATTGTGTTGATATGTAAAATTATATATCAGTTCCTTCTGATATTGTTTACAACTCTCATTCTAGGGTGGTGCCTAAGGTATGTAAAATGATATACCGGTATATGTTCCTTCTGATGCCATTTGCAACTCTCATTCTAGGGTGGTGCCTAAGCTTTACCAGCACATTGTGGCCTTGGCATTTGCAGTCAAGGAGATCAATGAAGACCCTCAGATCTTACCCAATATCACCTTGGGCTTTCACTTGTATGACAGCTATAACAATGCAAGGAACACATATCTCGCCACACTGCTGCTTTTATCCAGGGTGGAGAAATTTGTTCCTAACTATATATGTGATGTTGAAAATAATCTGGCTGGGGTCATTGGAGGACTGGATTCTGAAATCTCTTTTTATGTGGCAACTGTTTTGGATATCTATAAGAGCCCGCAGGTAGGACACTTATGTATAATACCTCTATTAGCTTGCATAGAGAAAGAGCCTGAATTAACAGCACAAGTTCAGGGAGCATCACGAGTTCAGTCTGAGGATGAAATTGGGGCAGAACCATGTACACCACTTTGAGATCCTTGAAAAATAAAGGTGGAACAGAATTAAAATAAAATAAAATAAAATGACCTTAATAAGGGGAAAGAAAGGCTGCAATACCAAAAAAAAACCTGTCACACCCCCAACCTCTTAAACACACCTCAAGGACACTGATATCCCAAAGGCCACTGAATGTTTAGGGGAAAAGGGTTTTCAAATTAAACACACTCTGGAAGTATGGCAAATTGCAGATACAATGGTACCTCAGGTTTCATATGCTTCAGGTTATATACACTTCAGGTTACAGACTCCAGAAACCCAAAAATAGTGCTTCAGGTTAACAACTTTGCTTCAGGATGAAAACAGAAATTGTGCTCCAGCGGTGCAGCAGCAGCAGGAGGCCCCATTAGCTAAAGTGGTGCTTCAGGTTAAGAACAGTTTCAGGTTAAGTACAGACCTCCGGAATGAATTAAGTACTTAACCCGAGGTACCACTGTACAGTTCAGTTCTGCAGGAGAACAGTAATAGTACTGAACAGCTGGTTCCAATGTGAAATAAATGTTCATAAGTAAAGTCTGAAAAGCCTTGAAAAGGAAAAGGCAGAAATGGAAGTTGTGGCAGTTGGGGTATGTGCATTGTGAAGACAAAAGAAGCTTCAGAGAAGGAATGTGTATCCGACCCGTGTTGCAATTCTGACATGACTACGGTAAATAATGTCTAATACAGTGTTGGGCAATCATCTGTTTAGGGCATGGTGTGTCCCTCCAATCAGTTTTATATATCGTACAAGACCCTGCAAGTATGCATAATTTTTTGTTGTTGTTGTTTTTTAAAAAAGCAACAATGCCCCCCCTGACAACAGAACAAATATTTAACAAGCAGGCATGGGAGATGGTCCCAATTTTAGGCCATTTGCATGTGTATAAATGAGAAAGGAATGCAACCCCTGGTGGGTGGCAAAAGGCATATCTGACTAACAGGATTCACCACGTAATGTATATGAATAGTTTGAAAGAACTCTGCAAATATTACTTTGTCTCTTCTCTTCCTCCATTCCCTCTTTAGCTCATTTATGGCTCTGCTGCAGTGATGAATGATAAAAGCCCAGGGCTTCCCTTCTACCAGATGGCACCCTCAGAAGCCCTTCAGTATGAGGGAATTCTCTCTTTGCTTCAGCATTTCAGGTGGACGTGGATTGGAATTATTGCAATGGACAATGACAATGGAGAAAGATTTGTGCAAACCATTTCCCCAATGTTTACCAAGAGTGGTGTCTGCTTTGCATTCATAGAAAGAATCCCCAATTTTAGTTTTATTTCTGAAATTCCTGGCATGCTAACACAGGGGACAACAATAAACGAGAAAATTTTTAGCAGCAATGCTAAAGTAGTGGTTGTCTCTGGAGAATCTTACTCCATGACAACTTTTAGGTTGCTTTCATACTTTTCAGAAAATGATGACATGACAAAGAAAGTAAAAAGTAAAGTATGGATAATAACAGCCCAGGTTGAGTTTGCATCATTTGTCTTTCAAAGGTACTGGGATGCAGGGATATTCAATGGTGCTGTATCCTTTGAAATTCACTTCAGAAACCCACCAGGATTTCATCAGTATGTTGTCCACAGAAATCCTTCCAGGACAGATGAGGACGGCTTTATCAGGGACTTCTGGCAACAGGCCTTTGAATGTGTACTCCCAGATATCACTTCAGACAAGGTGGAGGGGAATATTTGCACCGGAGAAGAGAAGCTGGAAAGCCTTCCCGGATCACTTTTTGAAATGAGCATGACAGGCCACAGCTACAGCATCCACAGTGCTGTCTACGCCATGGCCCATGCTTTACATGCCATGTCCACATCCAGACTCAGGCATAGAGGAATGGCGTACGGAGTGAGAGGGAAGAATCTGAATCAACAGTCTTGGCAGGTAAAGGCTGAATATTCTCAATTGGCAAAGCCCTGTTACTTCCTGACACTTTTTGCGTTCCCAAAAGCCTATGAACTTGTTCTTTCCTCTCAGAGTTCAAACGTTTGAGCAGGTGTATTAGGAAGAAGAACACAGAACTGAATTTATAATTCTGCAGACAGAGTAGGAGATGGCACTGATATGATCGTATCCTAGATAATTCCCCACATATTGTGCTGCTGCAAATGACAATAGGCCCTATAGAAAAGGGAAATGATAGTGGTGTCCTTCTTTGAGTAGGTACTGCCCTGTGTTTGAGCAGAAAGCATTAGTATGAGGAAAGCTTTGCAGTCCAATGATATCCCATTCCATTCAAAGATTGGTTTCAGATCATCTCCGTTGCCAAATGTTTCAGCTCCGAAACATTGAAAACCCGGAAATAAGTGTTCCGGTTTTCAAACTGGTATTGAAAGAGGCAATCGGAAGCCACGCCTTGGAAATCAAACGTTTTAGAAGTCAAAAGTCCTTCCAGAATGGATTAAATTTGAATTCCAAGGTTTGACTGTACTGTCCTATGTTTGAAGAAAAAGCATTTGTATGAGGGAAGCTTTACAGCCCAGTGAGGTGCCGCTGCATTCATATATAGGAAACTATGGTAACGGTTGAGAGAGATGATCAGCATTCCCTCTATCCCATATCAACCAAATCCTTCCTTAGAACAGGTGTTCGCACACCACTGCAGTGTCTTCTGAGATGTTCAGGGAGACAAGGGAGGGGAGGGGAGGGGAGGGGAGGGGAGAGAGAGAGAGAGAGACCTCACTACATACACATATTAGACTTATGGGCTAAATAAAGGGTTGTTAGAAAGATTGAGAGAGAGGCATGTGTGTGAAAGAAAACTGATAGGCTCTCTCCCTGCTTGGACCTGAATCCACTGACAGTTCATTGAATCATCCCCCACCACTTGCTGTAGGTTCTGCTCCTAGGGAAAAATGCTGCAGTCTTTTCCACAACCCCTGTCTTTTCTGTTTTCAATCTAGCTCCATCACTTTCTGAGAAGCATCTCATTTAACAATACTGCAGGAGATGTGGTCTTCATCAACCAGAATGGAGAGACAGCATCTAGCTTGGATATTGTCAACTGGATTATATTCTCCAACCAAAGTTTGCACAGAGTGAGAGTTGGGAGGATAGATCCGCAGGCTCCTCCAGACCAATCATTACTCCTTGATGAAGATGCCATCACATGGCACAGTTGGTTTAACCAGGTAGGGTTGCATTGTTTGCTAATTCAAAAGAGATTCAGTATTGAATAAGCAATCATTATCCACCTGCAAGTCTACTCACTGTCTTTTGAGTCGTAAATTGATGAGTGGTGTATGACCAAAGCATCCAGGTACCAGATTAAGAGCCAAAAGTTTGCTGCTAGAAGACCAATATTTTATTAAGGAGGTTACAAAACAGAACCCTTTTACTAAAAAATAAAGTTAAGCATGGCTAACAGTGTAAATATGCCTTAGGGGGTTGCTGGTTCAGATGAAAATAACAAAAGCTAGGTTGTCTAAGCCTAATCCCAACCATTCACAGACCACACTACAAGCTGCATCCATGCACATGTGGGTTTTGCACCACGCAATCCTTCATCTGAATGTGCGCCATTAGGTCCAGATCAAATATCAGTTTTTCTATGAAAGGGCCTGGAGACAGGAGGGCAAGTTTTCTTTCAGTCAAATAGAGCCTCTTGATACATTCCCCCAGCACAAGAGGGGATACATGCTCAGAGACCATGAAGCTACAAAGTGGATTTCTTCACAATCATTGTGACCTTGAAGCAACAATATATCAAACAATGCATACAAGTAGTAAGTTCGACTAATTAAATTGATTATTTTTTCCACTGGAAGACTTCAACTAGAATCCTAAGTAGAAAAGAAGAAAACTATTGTAAAATAAACCAAAGCAATTGGGATTTCTTTACACTTATTAAATACTGATTTCTGACAGAGTGAAGGATGAGGTATGAATTGATAGGCCCCAGGACATTGTCTTTCTTGCTAGAAAGGTGGGAAAAGGAGGCATAATAATACCAGAGGAAGAAACTGAGAACAGACAGCAGCAGATGCAGGAGAACACACAACTTCTCAGGGTGTTCGTGAAAGAGATGAAAGGAGGAGACATGAGTGAAGGAGGGACATGAGAAGAAAGGTGTGAAGAGCAAGAGACCATTAGGAATGCAAGCATCAATCTTTAAAAAGGAGTGATCTCAAAATTAGTTTTAAAATCAGGGACTGGGTAGAGGAGGAATGGTGGAGACCACTTCCCCAGCCTGACCCTTCCAGAGAAGAAGACAGTTCAGAATTACAACAGGGGTTTAATGGAGGTCACAGCTCAGAGGAAGATGGGGGGTGGAGTTGGGAAATATTGGGGGAAGAGGAGGAGGCAGAGCTGGAGCCGCTGGCTGACACTTTATCACTAGAAAGCATTCCAGACCCACCATCTCCCAGATCCCGGCAAGCCTTAAAAGTATGAAAGCAAAGGGCTTGAAGACAGATGGCCCTAAGCGGCAACCACAGTTGGGGTGCTGTTGACAAAGGAGGATGTGGGAGAGAAGTGGCTGGAGATTTACTGAGGACAACGCCGTTATCCCAAGAGGCTGCATTCCCAAGCCTCTCTCTGTAAATATTGAATAAAAAGTAGATAGTAGGGACTTTTCCTTTTCTTATCCATTCCTGGCAACCTGCAGTGGGAGTTGGTTCCTCTGCCACCTGACAGGTATATTTTGTTCTTAACATGCTGAGAATTGTGTTGTAGCAGGGGTCGCAGTAGGCCGGAATGAATATAAGGTTAAAGCCTTTGCTGATGATCTGGTTTTAACGGTGGAAGAACCTTTGGAAAGTGTTAAAAACATACTTGTAGAGGTGGAAAGATTTGGTCAAGTGGCAGGATTTATATTGAATAAGAAAAAGACTAAAATAATTGCTAAGAACATGGATCAAGATACGATAGGAACAATGCAACAACAAATAGGTATAGAAGTGGTGAAGAACGTGAAATATTTGGGTATTTCGATAACCCCTAAGAATATTGATTTGTATCAGAATAATTATATACCAGTGTGGAATGGAATAAAGAAAGATCTGGAGGTGTGGGGATGAATGAAGTTATCACTGTGGGGAAGGATCTCAACGATAAAGATGAGCGTACTGCCAAAATCGTTATTTTTGTTTCAGACAATTCCAATAATCAAAGGGACTGTGACTTTTAAAGAATAGCAAAGAGTAATTTCAAGGTATATCTGGCAGGGTAAGAAGCCAAGAATTCAATTTAAGTTATTAACAGATGCTAAAGAAAGAGGAGGCTTCGCCCTGCCAGACCTGAAATTATATTATGAAGCTTCATGTCTCTGTTGGTTAAAGGAATGGGTAAAATTAGAAATTAGAAAATACAGAGTTGTTAGATATAGAAGGATTTGACAACAGATTTGGGTGGCACGCATATTTATGGTCTGAAAAGAAGAAAATCCACAAAGGTTTTGAGAACCACATTTTCCGAAGATCGTTGATAGAAATATGGGATAGGTATAAAAGCCTACTTGAACCAAAAACTCCGCACTGGTTGTCTCCATTAGAGGTTATGAGTGTTAAAAAAATCAATATGAGAAGGAATTGGATTACATATGGAAATTTGATTGTTAAGGAAGGGAGGAAATGGAAAATGAAACCCTATGAAGAAGTAAAAGAGTATGTATATGATTGGTTGCATTACTTTCAAATAAATGAAATGTTTAAAAAGGACCTTAAGGAATATGGATTTGTAGAGAAAGATTCAAAATTTCAAATAGAAATAATAAATAATGAATATAAAATTTTATCTAAAATGTATAAGATATTGCTGGAATGGCATACAAAGGATGAAGAAGTTAAATCTGTTATGATACAATGGGCCAGAGATTTTGGATATAATATACAATTTAATGATTGAATCAAACTATGGAACGAAAATTTTAAATTTACTGCATGTACTGCATTAAAGGGAAATGTTATGAAAATGATTTACAGATGGTATATTACACCGGTAAAACTTGCAAAAATGTATAAAACATGCAAGAAATGTTGGAAATGTAAAGAAAGGGATGGTACTTTTTATCATATGTGGTGGGAATGTAAGAAAGTGAAGAGCTTCTGGAAATTGATATATAATGAACTGAAAAAAATGTTGAAATATACATTTGTTAAGAAACCAGAGGCCTTTCTCTTAGGAATTATAGGAAATGAAATAAATAGAAAGGATTGTAAACTTTTCCAATATGCAGTAACAGCGGCAAGAATACTACTGGCCCAGAAATGGAAACAGGAACAAGTACCAACATTGGAGGAGTGGAGAATGAAGCTGATGGACTATGCAGAACTTGATAAACTGACAGGGAAGATCAAATATCTATGAGATCAAAAGTTTATCAAGGACTGGGGAAAGTTAACGGAGTATTGGGAATGTATAAGTGATAATGAAATAACGTTAGTGGCATTTACAGAAGCTCTGTAAAACCTAAGAAGTATTGCAAAAAGAAAAACAGATGTGGAAGGGTATGTCAAAAGGCAATAGCAAATTTAGGAAATGTGTAACTAAAAAGTTTAATTCGGATGATTGTCAGAGAGGCTGAAGGAAGTCCAAAAATGAGAAAATTAGTTAAAGTTGTAATGTGGTGTGATATGTATTTTTCTTGATGAAAATCAAGAAAAAATATTTTAAAAAAGAGAGAATTGTGTTGTAGCTTGCCAAGGAGTGTCATAGGTTTTGGATAGCTTGATTCCAATTCACGAATTTGTCCAGAATATTTTTGTATTGGAATTCGCAAAGATTGTGTTCCTCAAAAATTAATAATAATAATAATAATAATAATAATAATATCCCCAACCTTGTCTACCTAGTGGACAGCATACGCAAAAGTAAGAATTATAACAAAATTAACAGGGAAACTAGAGTAACTTCAAAGTGTACTTTAATGGAAAGGGCAATCTTTGCAGAACAGATGGGGCACTGCACATCCCAGAACAATTTTTTCCCCCATTTTTATTGCCTTAAAAAAGAAAAAAAATTATACAGACAGCAAAACAAAGAAATAATAATAACAATTACAATGATGAAAATACTAAAAATACCTATACTTCGCCTTTTAAACTTCTATTCTGGTTACAATGTATTACTATTCTATAAGAATCTATTATATCCTTTGCTGTCCCATATATTATTTTATTTCCCAAATTCAACCTAACCCTCCCCTTCACCCCACTGCTTCCCTTCACCTGTGTGAGATCTTCCCATCATAATATATATATTTTCTAGTTGCTTTGATAAAATAGAGTAACTTGAAAACTGTTAAATTATAATTACTTCTTTTGTCCTTACACGCTTAACAATTGCCTATTAAAAGTTCTGCTTTAACACCATATTTCTTCATTTATTCCCCTATGCATTCCCACTCTGTATAGAATTTTTTATTGGAGCAGCCCCTGATAGCTGCAGTCATTTTTGCCATCTCGGCTAACTCACAAATCTTAACTTGCCATCCCAGAACAATATTGAGGGAATATCACATAATTTCAAACATTACTACTACTACGAATATGAAAAAAGCAATTGCTCTCTGTATGGCCATGACATACTACTGAAATTCTGTGTCAGCTTACTAACATAGAGAGGGGTCCGAAAACATAAAGGATTCCAAAGTCATTAGTCCCTTGATGAACCTTCTGCTCTTTCATTTATGGATTAGATTCAGCCTCTTTCTGTCTGTACTGAGAGATGTCTTCCAGGATCCAGCAAGAAAGTGAAGGAGGGACAGCCCCCTTGCTGCTACGATTGCATCCCATGTGCAGAGGGGAAGATTGCAAACCAGGAGGGTAAGAGAAATAAATAGATTCAATAGATCCAGACTCAGTACTTAGGATTGAATGGTGCTGTAAGGAAGGCTGAGTTTAAGTTTCAAAAAAGGAGATCATCTACTGTGTGTGTGATCCTGCCTCTTTGTAATCATTGCCCTTCAGATAGTCTAAATATGCTAATCAAATGAGAATGACCATTCATTGAGAGTAGTTGGGTGGTATGTGGTTCAAATCATATCTAGAGGGGTCTTGCCAATCCTTCTGACTTACACAGCCTGCACCCAGACTAGTGAGAATAAACATTCAGTTGTCATTGGCTCTGGCTGTGGCACCACATAGCTCTGAACCAATTAAATTCAACAATACCACATTGCAGCACATTAGACAGTATTCAAAATGTGTTTTAATTTGAGCAGAGCTCTTTTCTTCTCAGACAGAAAGTCAACATCAGAACCAACAAGGTGATATGAGCTCAAGGTCATTACCTTATTTTTTCCAGATATGAATGACTGTGATAAATGCCCAGACAAAGAATATCCAAGCAAGAACCGGGATGCATGTCTACCCAAGGATATCAGCTTCTTGTCTTACAAAGAACCTTTGGGCATCAGTTTAGCCTGCTGCTCTCTTTCCCTTTCCTTGATCACAGCTCTGGTACTAGGTACATTTATGAAACACCATGACACACCCATTGTCATTGCAAACAACCGAAACCTCACCTACACTCTCCTCATCTCTCTCCTGCTCTGCTTCCTGTGTGCATTGCTCTTCATTGGCCGACCTGAGAAGGTGACGTGCCTCCTCCGACAAACAGCTTTTGGCATCATCTTCTCAACTGCTGTCTCTTGTGTCCTGGCAAAAACCTTCACGGTGGTTTTGGCCTTCATGGCTACAAAACCAGAATCCAGGATGAGGAAATGGGTGGGGAAAGGACTAGGCCACTCCATTCTCCTTTCCTGCTCCATTGTTCAAGCAGGCATATGTACTGTGTGGCTGGCAACCTCTCCCCCATACCCAGATGTGGACATGCACTCAATGACAGAAGAAATTATACTAGAATGTAATGAAGGGTCTGTGACCATGTTTTACTGTGTCCTCATCTACATGAGCTGCCTGGCAATTGTAAGTTTTGCTGTGGCTTTCCTCGCCAGGAAGTTACCAGACAGTTTCAATGAAGCCAAGTTTATCACTTTCAGCATGTTGGTCTTCTGCAGTGTTTGGCTGTCCTTTATTCCCTCCTACCTGAGCACCAAGGGAAAATATATGGTGGCAGTGGAGATCTTTTCTATCTTAGCCTCCGGTATTGGGCTGCTGGGCTGCATCTTTTCCCCCAAATGTTACATAATCATTCTGAGGCCTGAGCTGAACAACAGGGAACAGCTAATAAGGAAGAAAAATTAAAGACTTAAGAAACCTGTCCTTTCTGCATTTTTGTACTTTTCTCTGTGTGTACAATAGAATATTTGCAAAGACGTGTTCAGCAGCTGCCTTATATAATTTTTTCTAGACCTGGTGATTCATGATAGTTAGTCATAAATATTGACTATTGAATTCACTCCGGAGAAAAGAGTGAATAGGTGATTAACCTCTGTTGTTCTGAAAAAGCCATTTTTTATGTGTTGGGGAACCAAGATGCTGTCAGTTCCTAGGAATCCTGGCAAAGTTAAGAGACTTATCAGAAGAAGAATCAGCATCTTGCCCCAAAACCACATGAAAGTCCACAGTTTCCCACAGATTTCGGTTTCACTTTGCAGCCAGCACTTCCACAAAAAGGACCAAGAGTTAAAAGTAATATAAAATGAAAATTCTTAACAATCAAATCACCCTTCCCTGTTTATAATCTTTCTTACCTGGAAACAATAAAAAAGGCTTTTTGTTTTGTTTTGCTAAAAATGGTGTCTTCTTATGCCAGCTGTCAGCTCACATTCCAAGTGAAATTTTCCATTAGCAGACAGATAACACCACTTGTAATTTATCAGAGTTTCAAAAGTAATTTAAATAATGGATATTTAGCTAACCTAATGCTCTGTTTGTTTATCTTTGGGGCTATTATGTGGTGTTTGGGCCTTTCTCTACATCACTCACCCCATCTGAAAATTTATTGGTCTTCCCTTTGTGAAGCAGCTTTTTTTTAGAGCACCATACCATTAACCAACACATAATTGTATCTGTTAATGGAGTGTCAGCAGTAGATGACAAGTGAACCATCTTTGCTCCCAGAAGCCTTCACTCTCTTGGTCTCCCGTTCAGGATGACTCCGAGAAGACTTTGGCTGAAAAGCGATAAACATGTTTTCTTTAGTCATATTGCAGAGACTCGACAACCCATATCAAGAGATTACCTCACCTGTAATTATCCCATTATTCCTAATAGCATCCTTCCCACACCCTCAGGACTTATTCTGGCCACATGCAAAATGCTAAAATTAAGACTATTAATAAGGAAGGTCTTGTTAATAACTATGAACTATTCAGAGCTGGTTATATAGAAACACAGATAATCATCATTGTGGTGACCCTTTTTTATATATTGTACTATTCTGGTTTTGCATCATCTGAAGTAATGACCATTCAAGTTAGGCTTTGCTATTCAGGATCATTTGAATAGCAATGGCAAAATAGTTAAATTTGTGCCAAAAATAAATAATCCCTTGCAAGATGGTAGGGTTTTTATTGCAGGTGATATTACTGCCGATACAGAGCTTGTGCAAGTTTCTTCCTCTTCCTCTGTGTTCTGTCAGAGAGCCTGTCCGTATTCTTCACAAATATTATCAGTCAGGAGATCTCATCATTGCTGGCATTATTTCTCAGATCTACATATTTTCAGATACCCTATCCTTTGAAAAACACCCATCTCAGGAATTTTCAGATGACCATATGTAAGTTGGAATTTTTAAAACCCATATTATAAAATGATGTTATTCACAGCTAACCTAGTCCTTGGTGTTGGACTTCCATTGGATATAGCCAGTGGGCTAGCAAATTATAGGAGCTTCAGTTGTTCTACCAATTCATTAAGTCTATCCCCCATTTGATCTTGTTCTAATGATTGTCTTCACATGGCCATCCTGTGTCCCTATGGGATAGCATGAGTAAATTATAAATACATGCAGCATGGGAGTTAAACAAGCTATTTTTATTTCTCTTCCATTTTCGATGAGGCTGGCAGATTTAAAGTGGTTGGACTGCGATACAGAGTCACATTTTGAATGTCAGATTCACTTGGGGTTTTGAAAAATAATAATATTCCTATATTGATTAAACCTCTAAACAAAGGAATAAGAATTCAGAACAAAATATGTATATGTATTCAAGAAATCTGTGATTTCAATGCTAAGGGCACTGCATACATCCAGTACATGAAGCCATAAGGATGTTCCTTGTTCATCCGCCTCTAGTCTACATGATTATTCCCCCTCTAGTCTACAGGATTATTCTACAGGACAGTTTCACCCTAGTATTCTGCCTGATAAGATAGCTTTTCTAAAGATATGTATATCACTGCTGAATTTTCATGATGGTTTTTTTAATATAAATGCAACATGATGGGATCATGCAGAAAATTAAATTAGGAAAAAAGAAATGACAGATTCCTTCATCACTAACACACAAATATACACAAAGAGCAACCATGAAGGAGTTGCTAGGGCTGTGCAGCAGATTCAGACACTGCTTGAATCTTGAAATGAATCAGGCAAATTTGGGTGGACCTGGACTTTGACTGAGTTAGGTGGAAGCAGCCCTAGACTGCCCCAGGTTGGGTCTGGCCTCTAGGAAGCCTCTGGGACAGTCAGAGTCAAGGTGACAGGTGCCTTGCCCAACAAACCCTATCATAGAATATGATTTTGAGAACAGCAGCAGTAGCTGGGAAGAGAGAGTTCAGGGATATTTAAAAAAAATAGTTTCATAAGTTGTGTGTCTTTGTTTCTCAATTTGATCCTTTTGATGGTTTGTATGTTTTGCGATATTTTATACATTGTGATTTGCTGTTAATTATATTGATTATAGATTGATAAGTGTGAACTGTTTAATTATTATTCGCTGGTGTTTAATTTTACTGTTTACTATTAGATTATGACGGATTGTTGCTTTGCTTGATGTAAATTGTTTATTTTAATGTTATTGTGACTTTTATATTGGATCAGATTGTTACTATTAATGTTTGATGTTTTATTATGTTTTCCTGTGTTGGGAGCCAACCAGAGTGGCTGTGGCAACCTAGCCAGATGTGCGGAGTATAAATAAAAATTATTATTATTATTATTATTATTATTATTATTATGCACCCCAAGTCTACTCCTATGACAATATATTGTGGTGCACCCTTCAACTCTCAATACAGGATGATGACTCAGCTCTATCAGCACATCCTGGCCTTGGCATTTGCTGTAAAGGAGATCAATGGAAATCCCTGTGTCTTGCCCAATGCTACTCTCGGATTCCACATGTATAACAGCCATTTTAGTGAAAAGTGGACCTTTCAAGCTTCAATAGAGCTTCTCTCAAGAAGGGCCAAATTCATCCCTAACTACAAGTGCGATGCTGAAAATACTCCAGTTGCAGTCATTGGAGGACCAAACTCTTATATTGGTCCAAACATAGCACCTATCCTGTGTACCTACAAGATACCACAAGTAAGATTTATATATGGAACATAAATACGCAAGTTTAATAAGCCATTTGAACTTCTCTTGCATTTCAGACATTATGCTATTGTGCTACATTTTGTCTTCTAATATTCCTGTTTAATACGTAAAGCTGAAGACACAAGATTGTAGAGCGGATCTATGTATTATCAGGACACCAGAAGGCTGCTTTCAATTCCATGGACAGTTTTAAATATTCATCCTTCTCCCAGCCATTATCTGTTTTACAAGAAGGTGTTTGGATGTGTCTCTTTCCCAACATTTTGAACATAGTAAAGTGCTCTTCATACACTCACTCTAGCGTTCTCTCTGACAAACTGATTGTCCAAGCAATCTACAGTAACTTCAATAGGTTCACATGTGTGCTAATGATACTTTTACAATTTTGTGTATGCATCACAAATACATAGTGGGGATAGAGAAGAGGATCTAGCTGGTGGGTTACACCTTGAGTTACCCCATTCCATACACCACCTTCATAGGGACAGAGGTGCCCATATGTCGGTCATCTGATACTTACCTTGTGGTTTCAAGCAGTTTCTTGAACTTTCCCATCCCTGATATAGTCTATAACGTGAAACCTTGGAAATATGCTTATGGCTTGTCCAAGATGGCATGTTGGGCCAATCTCTAAGGCCTGGTAGAACAGAGGTTTCCCACTACAGATCTGTAGTATGCAAAGTGAGAGTTTAACACAATTTAATGTATTGAAACCCATAGCTATACTCCATTCCAAGATATGTACCAAGCTCATTTGAATCTAAAGAGAATTGCGTGGACAGGCGGAGTCCCCAGATCCCGAGCGGTCCCCCCCCCCCGTCATGTGTAATAACGACTCAAGACAACGTGCTATGGGATTAAATTGGCCACAACTTTATTAAATTTCAAATGTGGGTAGACCTTGGCTCAGGCATTGGGCGTTCTCCCTCCCCAGTCCCCAGCCGGGGACCTAGGGAGCTTCAGGGTTATCCAGTGTGGGGGGGGGGATGGGCTGGCTCTGGAGAACATATGTTCAAGCAGAGATAGCCGCCCCCGTTACGCCACCGCCACAGGGGAGAGCAATGACGACCTTTTGGCGTACGGTCAAAGCCTCCCTTCAGAAACCCCTTTAACGGGGAACCCTGGTATCACCGCCGCAAAGAGGAAGATGGACTAAAGGATTCCGCCCAAGGCCTGATACCGCCAAAGTTGTGACGTTTTGCTACGGGAAAGGTGAAACCTGCCAATGCAGGGAAATTCCTTTCCGGCCCTTTAACAGTGACCTTATCGTAGAAGCGCCCGCATACCTGTGAAGAAAAGTTAACCTGCAAAACCTATGAAGAAAAGTTAACCTGCAAAGGAAGACATTAACTGAGGGTGGGTAGGGTGGGAGAAGCTCTGGAGCCAAGTGAGGATTCCCAGGTAAGATCCTCCCTCTATTGTGTGGGCAGGTAATCCCTCCCCCTACCTGGCCTGGTCTCCTTGGCAACGCTTGGTGGGATTGGACAACTGACTGAGGTAGGCGGGGACCTCCAGGTATCCCACCTGAGGGAAGGCAAAGCCAAGCCTATGCTGATGGGGCCGCTCCAGATCCAGGGCTGCGCGCGTCCACGCAAAGGGCGCCCCCCGTTTTAAGCGGGGAGCGGTCATTCCCAACATAGGAAATTCCCCTCACATAAAATGTGTGTACTTTTAGCTTGGCGAGGTAAGAATAAGTAGATGTGCATTCAATGCATTCTATACAAGCTGTTCAACTAATGTAAAGCAGCATTCATGTATCCTGGGTAGAATACAAAGAAAAATGCATAACTTCACTTATAGAAATACTGTCGCATTTTTGAACAATATTATTTCAAGGAAAGGTTGGAGATTGTCTTCCACAGCTGATTCTACATATATTTGCACAGTGACATGAACTTAATCTCACTGGGTAAACTTTGAGGCAAGTATGTCATAGGCCAGATTCCTGATGATGAGAGGATGGCACAAGGCACATATGCAGAATTCCATACCGTTCTTGATTTTGTCACAATGAATAAGCACCAGAACATCAGTAGAAAGCAGGGCCAGAACAGAAGCACTCAGCTCTTTTCTTGACATCATACGCCTCCCGCCTACTTCTGTGTGCGCAGTACACTCTGCTAATTGCATGCCCTGGCTTCTGAAGTCCGGGCCACTGATTTATGTCAGAGCACGGGCTGATGGAAGGAGACGTCCAAGCTGGGCTTGCCAGCTGGCCTCCCGGCCCCTCTACATGTCGACAGGTATGTGATGCTCTTTGTAAGTCTGTGTTTCTCCTTGTTAGTAAGGTTGATACCACTAATTCTATTTGTCTTGAAGATGCAAAAGAACAAAAGTGGGGAGGAAAGAGTGGTAGGAAGATTGCCATGACTGAGGTGTGTTTTGAGTAAACAACCACAGCTGGCTGCACCTTGTTATCGTGCTTATAAGACATATTTTCTAAGCCTGTATCACATTTGCAAACTCAAATTAGGAGTGGATATAAATTGATGTTCAGATGTAATCACAGTTTTTCAAATCTAACCCAAATCACTCTCTCTCATATCCTTTAACATTTTTGAAATATTATTTAGCTCATATATGGTTCTGCTCCAGTCATTAATAAAAAAACTGAAGGGATTTTCTTCTACCAAATATTCCCAAATGTGAACCACCTGTACAAGGGATTCTCCACTTACTGTTGCATTTTGCGTGGACATGGATTGGGATGCTTTCTCAGGATGATGACACTATAGAGAAGTTTAAAGAGGACATGTTCCCATTGTTTTCCAAAAGGGGCATCTGCTTTGACTTCATAGAGAAATTCCCCAAACAAACTTCTTCTAGTGATTTTGGTGACATGCTAGAAGAGGGCTTGAAATCTATCAAAGTTGTTATGGAAAGCACTGCCAAAGTTGTGGTTGTATATGGAGAAATTCAGAGTATAATGGCAATGAGATCAATGCACCAGCTTTTACAATTTGCAAATATATCAGTGAATATCCAGACAAAAGTCTGGATTATGACAGCTCAGATGGATTTCACATCATTTCCGTTCCAAAGAAGTTCAGACATAAATTTCCTCCATGGTGCTGTATCTCTTGCAATTCACTCAAAGGAGGTGTCAGGATTCCATAAATTTATTCAGCATAGGAACCCTTACTCAGAAAACAATGATGGTTTCATAAAGGACTTCTGGGAAGAATCATTCAGCTGTACATACCCCAATTCTTTTGTAGACAAGATGAACAAGAAAGTCTGCACTGGGGAGGAGAAGCTAGAGACCCTTCCCACATCTGTTTTTGAAATGTCTATGACAGGAAATAGCTACAGCATCTACAATGCGGTCTATGCAGTGGCACATGCATTCAGTACAAGGCATTCATCCCAAGTCAAACACAGAGCAATGGCAGATGGAGTAAGATTGGACCAACAACCATGGCAGGTAATGTCCTGCTCATGATTTTAAAGATTGAGGTATACCCCCATATTTGTAGGTGCAAAAACTTCCCATTGCATGCATCTCCATCCAAGACCTTTAGCAACTATTCACTGATTTTATGGCAATTTCTACTCTATGGTAGAAAAAGGGAGGCAAGACCTGATGTGAGAGCTAGGAAAACGTATCATTTCCTTTCTCCAGTACATTTTGCGTTTTATTTTTAAAAAAAAATAATGAGGGGGGGCAGCTCTGGTTTAGGGCGACGTAAGCTTAAGCTTGAGCTCTGCTCTGGCTCTGGAGTGGTTGGCTATCGGACGGTGTAGGGGCTATCGGGCAATTGCCCTAAAAAAGTTCAACAACTCTTTCGTCCAGATTTTTACCTCTTAAAATGTGGCATAAGCCTAGAATGGTGGTTGTGCTGGGGGTGGATGTGTTTAAACTGTCTCTTCAAGCCTAAAAGCCAGGACAAACTCAAAGCTTCCTCTCCTCATTTTAGTCAGCCCCTTTTCATTTTAGTGATTATGGGGTAAGTGGGTAGGTGTGGATTCTTCCATTTTTTTCTAGAGGAGGAATTACTGGAAACAAAAAGGCAAAAGCACATTTTCATAGATGCCAAAGTTTCTCCACTGTGCTGTATTTTGAACAAGGGAGCAGGTGGGGCTGTCGTCTAAACCACGGGTTTTCTTGGGTTTGCCAATTGTAAGGACAGCAGTTTGAATCCATGTAACGGGTGAGCTCCTGTTCCTCAGTCCCAGCTCCTGCCAACCTAGCAGTTCAAAAGCATACCAGTGCAAGTAAATAAATAGGTACTGCTGTGGCAGGAAGGTAAACAGTGTTTCCATGTGTCCTATCACTCATCACCGTGTCCTGTTGTGCCAGAAGCACTTTAATCATGCTGGCCACGACCCAAAAATCTGTTTGTGGACAAAGACCGGCTCCCACGGCCTGAAGCGAGATGAGCGCCACACCACATAGTCAAGTTTTACTTAACCATCCAGGTGTCCTTTACCTTTACCTTTACCTTTACTTAGAAGAGTATATGTCAAGCACTATCTCAGGGGCATTGTGGGGGGGGACACACATCTCCTGACATTTTAGGTCATTTACTATCATTTCTACTAGGATTCCTTTCAAGAAAACATAATCCAAAATCTTCATGTCTGATAGATTATAACCTTGATGTGCATTTGCATCCTTTGCACCTTTTAAGTACAGCCTTCTATTTCCCCCCCTCATAAATTAGCTGCATCATGTTCTCAGAAGTATTTCTTTTAACAACAGTGTGGAGGAAACAGTTTCCTTTGATCAACATGGGGAAATAATTGCTGGATTTGATATTATAAACTGGATCACATTTCCAAACCACTCCTTCCTCAGGGTCAAAGTTGGAAAGATTGACCCAATGGTTTACCAGGACAATGTCTTCATCATTAATGAGGATGTCATCATATGGCCCAACCAGTTTAAACAGGTAGTGACTGTGCACATTTTGGGATCTATTGAATAATTTCCTCAATGTTTAAAAAGTCACATTGCCTCCAGATTTTGAAGTGGATGTTAGAATGCTAAAGACAAATGTATGGAGTTCAAACAACACTGTCATAATGTGTATTTTGTCTCATGTTTTCTTAATGTGGGTAAAGGACTCCAGTTATAGGGACGTTCACCACATAAATATGATGCACACTCAAGAATTCATTATATTTCCTTATGACAGTATCAACCCATTCCTTCACTGCAGAGAAATAATAATGAAATAAAAGCCCCACAACTTATTTTTGGATTTTTTAAAAAACTATTTTATCATTTAATAACAGATGTGTCCCATTTCCATATGCAATGATCACTGCAGTTCAGGTTACAGAAGAGCTAAAAAAGAAGGGAAGGCATTTTGCTGCTATGATTGCTTTCCATGTCCAGAAGGGAAGATTTCAAACCAGAAAGGTAATGAATGTCATATGTAGATGTGTTCTGTTTAACAGTTACCATCTATTTAACAGATGGATACCATTTATTTTATAAATAGATCGGCTACAATCCAGCTTGCTCCCATCAGCCTTTTAAATGCTTAAACTAATTGCTCTAACATTCAAAATTGTGAAATGTTAGCATCCACAAAGCATATGTAAAGGGTTAATGGCAAGAACCGTAGAACTCTGTGATGTCATACACTCTGTGGCCGTTATGGCAGTTAGTTGAACAGTCTTAACAGTTAGAACAGGAGGTTTGTTTTGTGCTGCTGCTGTCTGCCTAAGAGATATCTGAAGAAGTGTGCATGCACACAAAAGCTTATACCCTGAACTAACTTAGTCGGTTTCTAAGCTGCTACTGGACAATTTTCTTATTATCTTATTTTACATAGATCAAACTGTTACAGTCTGTAACAGTTTAATCTATGTAAAAGCTATTAGCAATTTAAGTATCACCTACCTGCATTGAACATAATAATCTGCAACTGCAAGAATACTAAGTCAAAGTTATTTGTTCTTTAAACTTTAAACAGAGAGTGTCTTGTGTAGTTACTATAGGAGGGAAAATAGAAATAATAAAAGGGTCAAACGATCCAGGGCTATCTTCCACATATTTCACATGAGGTAACTTGGGTGGCTGAACAAAATACAGTCATACCTTGAGTTGAATGTGCTTCGGGTTGAGCACATTCTAGTTGCGCTCCACTGCAACCCGGAAGTAATGGATCGCATTACTTTCGGGTTTCGCTGCTCGCGCATGTGCAGATGCTAAAAATTACGTCACGTGCATGCACGGAAGCAGCGAAACGCGACCCATGCACACACAGATGCGCCGTAGCGTCTCGCGTTCTATTTGGGATGCGAATGGGGCTCCGGAACAGATCCCGTTCACATTACGAGGTACCACTGTATAGGAAAAATTCATAGGGCATAAGAATATTAGTGGGTTGGAATAGCTGAAACAAAAAGACTGTGTAAGCCCCAGCCCCAAACACACAAATCAATAGACACAGAGGCCTCTGCTATCTTCAGCCGCTAGCAGGATGGCTGAGATTTGTTTATATTTCTGGATTTGCTTGGAACACATGAGAAAGCAGGCCACTAATGCCACTGAACTCAGATTATGCAGGAGGTAGAACTTCCTATTATTCTTACTGCAAAATCAACTTTTGATATTTCAAGTTCACTACCCTCATTCAGGAACAGAAAGCCATATTTAGATAGCCTTTTATGTTTATTTTTCATATTTGATTTCAGACATGGATGATTGTTTTCAATGTTCAGAAGATCAGTATCCAAACATTGGCCAAGATATATGTCTTCCAAAAGAAATAAGCTTCCTGACTTACAATGAGCCTCTGGGGATCAGTTTCGTCACACTTGCTCTTTTATTGACCTTCACTACAACTTTGGTGCTTAGGATCTTCATCAAGCACAAAGAAACTCCCATAGTCAAAGCCAACAATCGGACCCTCACCTATGTTCTCCTCCTAGCCCTCGTTCTCTCCTTCCTTTGTCCTTTACTTTTCATTGGCCAGCCCATAAGAATAACCTGCCTCCTTCGACAAACTGCTTTTGCAGTGATCTTCTCAGTAGCAGTGTCTTGCATCTTAGCAAAAACAACTATAGTGGTTCTAGCTTTCATGGCTACCAAGCCAGGCTCCAGAATGAGGAGATGGGTGGGGGGAAATCTGGCCATCTCCATTGTTCTTTTCAGCTTCCTCATTCAAGTGATGATTTGTAGTGCCTGGCTGATAGTTGCTCCCCCACTCCCTGATTTAGACAAGCACTCAGTGACTAAAGAAATTGTACTGGAATGTAACGAAGGATCAGTCACCATGTTCTACTGTGTCCTAGGCTTCATGGGAATGCTGGCCATGGTCAGTTTCACTGTGGCTTTCCTAGCTAGGAAGTTACCAGACAGTTTTAATGAAGCCAAGTTCATCACCTTCAGCATGTTGGTCTTTTGCAGTGTGTGGCTATCCTTTGTTCCTACCTACCTGAGTACCAAGGGAAAGTACATGGTGGCTGTGGAGATCTTTTCTATTATGGCCTCTAGTTTTGGGTTACTAGGCTGTATCTTCTTCCCCAAATGTTATATCATTTTGGTGAGGCCAGAGTTAAACAGCAGGGGACAGCTTACAATAAGAAAGAAATAAAGCATGAACAAGTGTATTTAATGTAGCATATAATAGCTGGACTGAATCCACTTGTATTCATTTTGCCTCAACCCAACAAAACTCTCCCCAAAATCCCATAGAGCAGACCATGTAGCTGTTCTCCCTGGACTTTCCTCTTACACAGTACTGTTATTAAGGGAAGCAGTGGCTCATGTAACCTAGACTCATAGAGCTGGAAGGGACCCTAATTCCAAGATGATGATTACATATTTTGAAAATTCAGTTGGTTACAAGGTCTTCTATAATGTGCTTCTAACTTCTAACTTCATCAATACACCACTGGTCTTTTATTATCTAATGAAAGGGTAATAAAAATAACAGTTCTGAATATGTGACAAACACATTTTCTTCAGCAATTCCAGAGGAATCCTTAGCATTGGATGAATAACTACATTGCAGCTTGATGGCTAACAGGGTATAATTTGAGCTGCTGCTACTAAAAAACTTTAAAAAACAACAACCTGTGGACTTCCAGTGGCCACTGGGAAACCTAATGCAAAGTATACTAAAACTGATCAGAATTAATCAGACTTGTGATCAACAAGTCAGATTTTGTATACTCCCAGATTGCGTCATTTTGGGAAAATAAACTACCATTTAAATGAGACATTTTTTATCTTGGAGAAGAGAAAACATGGTTTCTGCATAGAACAAACAGTTGCCGTCATACTGAGAATGGTGGTCTTAGTGTTATTGTTGCTGGAACTGCTTTCTTACAATGTATGTCAGGCTCACATAGCAAAATGTATGCTCCAAGGTCCACACCATCCACTTCACATGTATCATCAGCCAGGAGAGTTCCTCATTGGTGGCATTGTTTCCCATGGTGGCTTCATCTCCTCTCCAGCAAAATTCACTGAGGAACCCCCACCAGCGCTGCCTGAAGAACTTGTGTAAGAACTAAGCCATTCATTTATTACAGCACATGAATGATCAAACCAAGAGCTTCAGCCTCAGAATAATGACTGAGGCTGCAAACTTATCCCCATTTACCCTGGGATAACCACTTTTGATTTCAGTGGTACATATGCTGATGTAAAAATCCATAGGAAGCTCTTGTGCATTAAGAGAATAGTGCAGAACCTGCACTTAGGCAGGAATTACCAGCTGCACAAATCTAAGACAGGGAACACCTGGCATGCCAGTAGTACATGTGAAAAGGAGTCTGCATCAAAAGAGGTATAGTGCCCCAATCAAAAGTAGTAATAGAGCAGCTCTATTCTGCCATGCTCAGACCACACCTGGAGTACTGTGTTCAGTTATGTCCAGCACTATTTAAAAAGGAAATTGACAAGCTGCAACATGTGCAGAGAAGGATGACACATATGGTCAAGGGTCTGGAAGCCAAAATTATGAGGGGGTTGGGTATGTTTAGCTACGAAAATAGAAGACTGATGGGATGTAGGATAGCTATTTTCAATTATCTCAAGGGCTGTCACCAGGAAGATGGTGCAAGCTTGTTTTCTCTTGCTCCAGAGGGAAGGACCCAAACCAATGGATTCAAGTTGCAAGAGAGGAGATTCTGTCTAAACAACAGGAAGAACTGGCTGATTATACAGTAAGAACTGTTCAGCAGTGGAATGGACAGGGAGTTAACTCCACTGAATTCGATATGAATAACTACAGTGTTGATATGTAAAAGATATATCTGTTCCTTCTATTGCCATTTGCAACTCTCATTCTAGGGTGGTGCCTAAGCTTTACCAGCACATCGTGGCCTTGGCATTTGCAGTCAAGGAGATCAATGAAGACCCTCACATCTTACCCAATATCACCTTGGGCTTTCACTTATATGACAGCTATAACAATGCAAGGAGCACATATCTCGCCACGCTGCTGCTTTTATCCAGGGTGGAGAAATTTGTTCCTAAGTATATATGTGATGTTGAAAATAATCTGGCAGGGGTCATTGGGGGACTTGATTCTGAAATCTCCTTTTATGTGGCAACTGTTTTGGATATCTATAAGATTCCACAGGTAGGACACCTATGTACAATACCTAAATTAGCTTGCATAGATAAAGAGGATGATTTCACAGCACCTGTTCAGGGTGTATTACCAGTTCAGGGCAAGGATGAAATTGGAGCAGAATCAGTTCTTTGGAAAGTAAAGGTGGTACAGAATTAAAATAAAATAAAATTACCTGAATAAGGGGAAAGAAAGGCTGCAATACCAAGCCAGGCTCCAGAATGAGGAGATGGGTGGGGGGAAATCTGGCCATCTCCATTGTTCTTTTCAGCTTCCTCATTCAAATGATGATTTGTAGTGCCTGGCTGAGAGTTGCTCCCCCACTCCCTGATTTATACAAGCACTCAGTGACTAAAGAAATTGTACTGCAATGTAATGAAGGATCAGTCACCATGTTCTACTGTGTCCTAGGCTTCATGGGAATGCTGGCCCTTGTCAGTTTCACTGCGGCTTTCCTAGCTAGGAAGTTACCAGACAGTTTTAATGAAGCCAAGTTTATCACCTTCAGCATGTTGGTCTTTTGCAGTGTGTGGCTGTCCTTTGTTCCTACCTATCTGAGTACCAAGGGAAAGTACATGGTGGCCGTGGAGATCTTTTCTATTATGGCCTCTAGTTTTGGATTACTTGGCTGCATCTTTTCCCCCAAATGTTATATCATTTTGCTGAGGCCAGAGTTAAACAGCAGGGGACAGCTTATCATAAGAAAGAATTAAAGCATGAACAAGTCTATTAGATGTAGCAAATCATAACTGGACTACATCTCCTTGTATTCATTTTGCTTCTTCACAGAATGCCTCAACCCAACAAAGCCAACAGAGGAGCCCATGTAGCTGTTCTCCCTGGACTTCCCCTGACAAAGTACTGTGATTAAGGGAAGCAGTAGCTCATGTATCCTAGACTCATACACTGGGGAGGGACCCTAATTCCATGATGCTGACTGCACATTTTGGAAACTACATTGGTTACATTGGTTCCCCAATCCAACAGTGGTCCCTTATTATCACCTGAAAGGGTAATAAAAATAACAGTAGCTCTTCTCCAGGGATTTTCCCCTGACAAAGTACTCTGATTAAGGGAAGCAGTGGATCATGTATCCTAGACTCATAGACAAGGGAGGGACCCTAATTCCAGGATGCTGACTACACATTTTGGAAACTACATTGGTTACAAGGTCTTCCATAATGAGCTTCTAACGTCTTCCTTCCCCAATACAACAGTGGTCCCTTATTATCAAGTGAAAGGGAAATTAAAATAACAGTTCTGAATATGTGACAAACACATTTTCTTCAACAATTCCAGAGGGAATTCTAAGCACTGAATGAATAATTACATTGCTTCTTGATCATTAACAGGGCTATAATTTGTGCGGCTGCTTCTCAAAAAACAGTGGGGACTTACAGTGGCCACCGGTAAACCTAATGCAAAGTATATTAAAATTAATCAGAATTAATCAGACTTGTGATCCGCAAGTCTGATTTTGGATACTCCGACATTGCATCGTCTCAGGGAAATAAACTACCATTTAAATAAGAGCATTTTTATCTTGGAGAAGATAAAACGTAGTTTTTGCATAGAACAACCAGTTGCCTTTGTATTGAGAATGGTGGTTTTAGTATTCTTGCTGCTGGAACTGATTTCTTACAATGTATGTCAGGCTCACATAGCAAAATGCAGGCTCCAAAGTCCACACCGTCCACTTCACATGTATCATCAGCCAGGAGAGTTCCTCATTGGTGGCATTGTTTTCCATGGTGGCTTCATCTCCTCTCCAGCAACATTCACTGAGGACCCCCACCAGCGCTGCCTGAAGAGTTTGTGTAAGAACTAAGCCACTCATTTATTACAGTACAGGAATGATCAAACTTAGAGTGTCAGCCTCAGAATAATGACTGAGGCTGCAAACTTATACCCATTTACTTAGGGATAACCACTTTTCATTTCAGTGGGACATATGCTGATGTATAATCCATAAGAATCTTGTGTGAATTAAAAGAATACTGTAGAAGCTCCCATTTCCCAATAGGGAAATGAATATAAATGTATTGAAATGTGTATATATTTGTATGTCTGAGATAGCCCTTTTGAACAGCCGTTTTTGATAGACTTTATCTGAACAGGAGTGTAAGTGAGAATCAATTAAAAAAAAACTGTACTGAACCAAAATGCCCATATCATTTCATTTTCTGATCATAGTCTGTCTCAGAATGATAGTATATATTATGAAGTATAGAAATCTGTGAATTACAACCACTATCACTGCCTCATGAACAATGAAGCTGTCATTGCATGACAGAACTGAGAAATACTGTAAATGTCAGGGAAAGACTTCAGATGTTTTAGGGAAAGACCCCAGGGTTCTAATGTTCCAATGGGCACCACATTAGCAACCCCTGGTCTAGATACCATTGGCCTTTACAGATTGGAGAACTGCGGCAAAACTAACAAAATGAACTTCAGTCGGGACAAATGGCGGGTTCTGCACTTAGACAGGAAATATTAGCTCCACAAATCTAAGATATAGAAAACCTGGCATGCCAGTAGCACATGTGAAAAGGATCAAGGAGTCTGCATCAACAGAAGTATAGTGAGCCAATCAAAAGAAGTAATAGAGAAGCGCTATTCTGCCATGCTCAGACCACAGCTGGTGTACTTTGTTCAGTTGTGTTCAGCACTATTTAAGAAGGATATTGACAAGCTTCAACGTGTGCTGAGGAAGGTGACAAATATGATCAAGTGTCTGGAAACCAAACCTTGTGAGGGAACATTGAGGGGGTTGGGAATTTTTAGCTATGAAAATAGAAGACTGAGGGGAAGTAGGATAGCTATTCTCAAGTATCTCAAGGGCTGTCACCAGGAAAATGGAGCAAGCTTGTTTTCTAAAAATCTGGAAGAACTTGATTATAATAACTGTTCAGCAATGGAATTGACAGGTAATTAACTCAACTGAATGCAAAATGAATAGCAACTGTGTTGAAATGTAAAAGGACATAACAGTTCCTCCTGATGCTATTTGCAACTCTCATTCTAGGGTGGTGCCTAAGGTATGTAAAATGATATACCGGTATATGTTCCTTCTGATGCCATTTGCAACTCTCATTCTAGGGTGGTGCCTAAGCTTTACCAGCACATCGTGGCCTTGGCATTTGCAGTCAAGGAGATCAATGAAGACCCTCACATCTTACCCAATATCACCTTGGGCTTTCACTTGTATGACAGCTATAACAATGCAAGGAGCACATATCTCGCCACACTGCTGCTTTTATCCAGGGTGGAGAAATTTGTTCCTAACTATATATGTGATGTTGAAAATAATCTGGCAGGGGTCATTGGGGGACTTGATTCTGAAATCTCCTTTTATGTGGCAACTGTTTTGGATATCTATAAGATTCCACAGGTAGGACACCTATGTACAATACCTAAATTAGCTTGCATAGATAAAGAGGATGATTTCACAGCACCTGTTCAGGGTGTATTACCAGTTCAGGGCAAGGATGAAATTGGAGCAGAATCAGTTCTTTGGAAAGTAAAGGTGGTACAGAATTAAAATAAAATAAAATTACCTGAATAAGGGGAAAGAAAGGCTGCAATACCAGAAAAAATATGTGGTACCCCCAATCTCTTACACACACATCAAGGACATCCCAGAGGCCACTGGTGGGAGAGTGGGTGTGTCCCTCACCAGCCACGACTCCACACACAATATGTGTATGTTTAGGGGAAAAGCACTTTCAAATTAAACACACTCTGAAGGTATGACAAATTGCAGATATAATCCAGTTATGCAAGAAAACAATAATAGTGCTGAGCTGCTGGTTCCAAAGTGAAATGTTCATAAATGATGTCTGATAAGTCTCAAAAAAAAGAAGAGGGAGAAATGGAAGTTCTGCTGTGTCTTGGGGTATGTGCATCATGAATACGAAAGAAGTTCCAGAGAAGGAATGTGTATCCGACCCAAGTTGCAATTCTGACATGACTACAGTAAATAATGTCTAATGCAGGGTTAGGCAATCCTCTGTTTAGGGCATGGTGCAACCCTCCAATCATTTTTGTCCATCATACAAGATGCTGCCAAATTTTGCAAGTATGCATAAGTTTAAAAAAAATAAAAAGAAAAGAAAAGAAATGTTTAACAAACAGAAATGGGAGATGTCCCCAATTTTCAGGCCATCTGTGTGTGTGTATTTTTGTATGAATGAGAGAGGGCGTGCAACCCCTGGTGGGTGGCAAAGGGCATATCTGACTAACAGGATTCGCCACATAATGTATATGAATAGTTTGAAAGAACTCTACAAATATTACTTGGTCTCTTCTCTTCCTCCATTTACTTTTTAGCTCATTTATGGCTCTGCTCCGGTGATGAATGATAAAAGCCCAGGGCTTCCCTTCTACCAGATGGCAGCCTCAGAAGCCCTTCAGTATGAGGGAATTCTCTCTTTGCTTCTGCATTTCAGGTGGACGTGGATTGGAGTCATTGCAACAGACAATGACAATGGAGAAAGATTTGTGCAAACCATTTCCCAAATGTTTACCAAGAGTGGTGTCTGCTTTGCATTCCTAGGAAGGATCCCCAATTTTAGTTTCATTTCTGAAGTTGCTGACATGCTACGTCAGGGGGCAATGATAAACGAGGAAATTTTTAGCAGCAAAGCTAACGTAGTGATTGCCTCTGGAGAATCTTATTCCATGGCAAATTTTAGATGGCTTCCATACATTTCAGAACATGATGACATAAAAAATAATGTAAAAAGTAAAGTATGGATAACAACTGCCCAGGTTGAGTTCGCTTCATTTGTCTTTCAAAGATACTGGAATTCAGGAGTGTTCAGTGGTGCTATATCCTTTGAAATTCACTTCAGAAACCCACCAGGATTTCATCAGTATGTTGTGTACAGAAACCCTTCCAGCACGGATGGGGACGGTTTTATCAGGGACTTCTGGCAACAGGCCTTTGAATGTGTACTCCCAGATATCGCTTCAGACAAGGTGGAGGGGAATATTTGCACCGGAGAAGAGAAGCTGGAAAGCCTTCCCGGGTCACTTTTTGAAATGAGCATGACAGGCCACAGCTACAGCATCCACAATGCTGTCTACGCCATGGCCCATGCTTTACATGCCATGTCCACATCCAGACTCAGACATAGAGGAATGGCGTACAGAGGGAGAGGGAAGAATCTGAATCAACAGTTTTGGCAGGTAATGGCTGAACATCCTCAACTGGCAAAGCCCTGTTACTTTCTGACACAGTATGGGTTCAAACATTTGCGCAGGTGTATTAGGAAGAAAACCCAGAACTGAATTTATAATTCTGCAGACAGAGTAGGAGGTGGCACTGATATGATAGTATCCTAGATGATTCCCCACATATTCTGCTGCTTGCAAATGACAGTAGGCCCTATAGGAAAGGGAAATGATGGTCGTGTCCTTCCTTGAGCAGGTAGGTAAAGGTACCCCTGCCCGTACGGGCCAGTCGTGTCCGACTCTAGGGTTGTGCGCCCATCTCACTTAAGAGGCCGGGGGCCAGCGCTGTCCGGAGACACTTCCGGGTCACGTGGCCAGCATGATGAAGCTGCTCTGGCGAGCCAGCACCAGCGCAGCACACGGAAACGCCGTTTACCTTCCCGCTATAAAGCGGTACCTATTTATCTACTTGCACTTAGAGGTGCTTTTGAACTGCTAGGTGGGCAGGAGCTGGGACCGAAGGACAGGAGCTCACCCCGCTGCGGGGATTTGAACCACCGACCATACGATCAGCAAGTCCTAGGCACTGAGGTTTTACCCACAGAGCCACCCGCGTCCCCATATTTGAGGTACTGCCCCATATTTGAGCAGAAAGCATTTGTATGAGGGAAGCTTTGCAGACCAATGATATCCCATTCCATTCAAAGATCGGTTTCAGATCATCTCCATTGCCGAACGTTTCAGCTCTGAAACGTCGAAAACCGGGAAGTAAGTGTTCCGGTTTTCAAACCCGAATTGAAAGAGCCAATATGAAGCAACGCCTTGGAAATCAAATGTTTTGGAAGTTGAAAGTCCTTCCAGAATGGATTACATTCGAATTCCAAGGTTTGACTGTACTGTCCTGTGTTTGAAGAGAAAGCATTTGTATGAGGGAAGCCTTACAACCCAGTGAGGTGCCGCTGCATTCATATATAGGAAGCTGTGGTAACGGTTAAGAGAGATGATCAGCATTCCCTCTATACCATCCCAACCAAATTCTTCCTTACAGCAGGTGGTTGCACACCACTGCCATGTCTTCCGAGATGTTCAGCGACGGGGAAGAGGAGGAGGAGAGAGAGAAACCTCGCTACTCACACATATTTAACTTTTCCAAACAATTGTCTTTTCTGCTTTCAATCTAGCTCCATCACTTTCTGAGAAGCATCTCATTTAACAATACGGCAGGAGATGTGGTCTTCATCAACCAGAATGGAGAGGCAGCATCTAGCTTGGATATTGTCAATTGGATTATATTCGCCAACCAAAGTTTGCACAGAGTGAGAGTTGGGAGGATAGATCCACAGGCTCCTCCAAACCAATCATTACTCCTTGATGAAGATGCCATCACATGGCACAGTTGGTTTAACCAGGTAGGGTTGCATTGTTTGCTAATTCAAAAGAGATTCAGTATTGAATAAGCAATCATTATCCACCTACAGGTCTACTCACTGTCTTTTGAGCTGCAAGTTGATGAGTGGTGTATGGCCAAAGCATCCAGGTACTAGATTATGAACCAAAAGCTTACTGGAAGAAGTCACACATGGATTAAAGGCAAATCTTTTTTTAAGGGGATTACAAAACAATATCCCAGCCATTCAGATACCCCACTACAAGATACATCTTCATCTGAATGTGGGTAATTAGGTTCAGGTCAAATATTAGTTTTCATATGAAAAGGCCTGGATACAGGAGGGAAGGTTTTATTTCAGTCAAATAGAGTCTCTGAGTACATTTCCCCAGTGCTAAAGGGTTTGTGTGCTGAAAGACCATGAAGCTATGAAGTGGATTTCTGCAAGACCATTATGCTCTTGAAGCAACCTTACATCAAACAGTGCAGAAAAGTGGTAACTCGGACTGATTAAATGGATTATTATTTTCCAGTGGAAGACTTCAACCAGAATCCTAAGTAGAAAAAGAAAACTATTGTAAAATAAACCAAAGAAATTGGGATTTCTTTAAACTTATTAAATACTGGTTTTTAACTGAGTGAAATATGATGTACAAATTGATAACCCCTAGGATTTTGTCTTTCTTGCAAGAAAGGTGAGGAAATGAAGGGGTTGGGGAAAGGAGGCATAATAATACCAGAGAAAGAAACTGAGGACAGCAGCAGATGCAGCAGTCTTCTTCTAAGGGGGGCACTGGAAGAGGTGGAAGCAGAAGTGGTGAAGATTGAGAGAGTGAAGGAGGGAAAGAAGAAGAAAGGTGTGAAGAGCAAGAGACAGAGCATTAGGAATGGATGCATCAATCTTTTAAAAAGAGTGATTTCAAAATATGTTTTCAAAGGTATATATTGTTCTTACCATGCTGAGAATTGTGTTGCAGCATTCCACGGAGTGTCATGGACACTAGATAGCTGCATTCCAATTCATGTATTTGTCCAGAATATTTTTGTATTGGAATTCACAAATACCGCATTTCTCAAAATAATAATACCCACCAATCTGGATGGGTTTTCCCAGCCGCTCTGGATGTCTTATTCGGAACTCTTCCCCAGGCAGCATCTGATGGGTCCAAGTATAGGTATAGCCACCGGCACCAAAATCAGTTCTAGAGCTGTCTACCTAGTGGAGAGCATACTCAACATTAACAATTCTAACAAAATTAAGAGGGAAACTAAAGTAACTTCAAACTGTACCATAATGGATAAAGCAATCTTTGCAGAACAGATGGGGCACTGCACATCCCAGAGCAATATAGATGGAATATCACATAATTTCAAACATTGCTAGTAATAATAAGAATAATAAGAAGAAGAAAAGGAGCAATGGCTCTCTGTATAGCCATTACATATTGCTGATATGCTGTGTCAGTTTAGTAACATAGAGAAAGAACAGAGAACATAAAGGATTCCAAACTCATTAGTCTCTTGATGAACCTTCTGCTCTTTCATTTATGGAATAGACTCAGCCTCTTTCTGTCTGTACTGAGCGTTGTCTTCCAGGATCCAGCAAGAAAGTGAAGGAGGGACAGCCCCCTTGCTGCTACGATTGCATCCCATGTCCAGAGGGGAAGGTTGCAAACCAGATGGTAAGAGAAATAAATAGATTCAATAGATCCAGACTCAGTACTTCGGATTGAAAGGTGTTGTAATGATGGCTGAGTTTAAGGTTCAAAAGAGGTGTTGATCTACTGTGTGTCTGATTCTGCCTTATTGTGATCACTGCCCTTCAGATAGTCTAAATATGCTAATCAAATGAGAATGACTATGCATTGAGAGTACTTGGGTGGTATGTGGTTCAACTCATATCAAGAGGGGCTTGTCACTGCACCAAGGCTACTGGAATGATGCATTCCAATTTCATGAGCAGCAATAGCCCTGGCTGTGCCATTTACATACCACATAGCTCTGAACTGATTGAATTCAACAATACCACATTACAGACAGAATTCAATATGTGTTTTGATTTAAACAGAGCTTCATTTCTTCTCAGACAGAAAGTAAACATTTCAGCAAGCTGATATGATATGAGCTAATTTCTTTATTTTCCCCAGATATGAATGACTGTAATAAATGCCCAGACAAAGACTATCCAAGCAAGAACCGGAATGCATGTCTACCCAAGGATATCAGCTTCTTGTCTTATGAAGAACCTTTGGGCATCAGTTTAGCCTGCTTCTCTCTTTTCCTTTCCCTGATCACAGTTCTGGTACTAGGTACATTTATAAAACACCATGACACACCCATTGTCATTGCAAACAACCGAAACCTCACCTACACTCTCCTCATCTCTCTCCTGCTCTGTTTCCTTTGTGCATTGCTCTTCATTGGCCGACCTGAGAAGGTCACGTGCCTCCTCCGGCAAACAGCTTTTGGCATCATCTTCTCAACCGCTGTCTCTTGTGTCCAGGAAGTCACCAGACAGTTTCAATGAAGCCAAGTTTATCACTTTCAGCATGTTGGTCTTCTGCAGTGTTTGGCTGTCCTTTATTCCCTCCTACCTGAGCACCAAGGGGAAATATATGGTAGCTGTGGAGATCTTCTCCATCTTAGCCTCCAGTATTGGGTTGCTGGTTTGCATCTTTTCCCCAAAATGTTACATAATCATTCTGAGGCCTAGAGCTGAACAATAGGGAACAGCTAATAAGGAAGAAAAATTAAAGAAATAAGAAACCTGTCCTTTGCTTTAATTTGTGCTTTTCTTTGTGTGTACAGTAGAATATTTCTTCTTCTTCTTCTTCTTCTTCTTCTTCTTCTTCTTCTTCTTCTTCTTCTGTGAAAGTGTTGCCAATAAATTGAAAGTAACTTTTCCACTTCATGATTCCACTGTGTGAAATAGATGTGTTTAATTTTGTTAAGAGTTAACGCTGTGAAAATCTTAAGGTGGAGAAGGGAGATTTAATCAATTTTTATTCACCATTTTATACATCTCAGCACTGATGTCGGCAGACGAATGGGGGGTAGGGTCTGACTACGAGAATGAGAGAACACAGGCACAGCCAGAGTGGGCGAATTTAGAAAAAAAAAACACCCCGTTGCACTGTTAAAGCAACAGACACAGGAAACGAGCAATCTGGGAACGAAGGAGGAGATTACCTTGAGCGTGTTGCTAGGCAACCAGAGGGAAGGCAGCAAACAGCGTATACTTCGTTAGATAGTGCAGATGAAGTCTGTCCTATTTCTCTTTGACGCAGACAAGAGGAAAGGGTTAAGAGTCATCAGAAGGACAGGCGGGGAAGGACCGGATATTGTCGGGCTCCGTGTTGCTTGTGAGGCGGGGACTCAGATTGAGCACCTCGTAGCCAAGAAATGGCAGGCTTTTGCCGCTCTCTGAATATTAATTGTAAATAAACATACCATAAATCTGCAGAGTCTAATTACTTCTTATTGGAGCTTGTTGCCTGCCTGAGATCATTACATCTGAGCTCTTTCTGTTGCTCATCCAGTAATTGCTGCATGATACCAACACTCAATGGAGTGTTCAACAACATTTTTGCCACCCTAACAGTCTCTGCCTTGAAGACTTGTGTCTCTCTTCTTAGGGAGGAGCACATTCACCCTGTGGAATGCTCTACCATCAGATGTCAAAGAAATAAACAACTATCTGACTTTTAGAAGACACCTGAAGGCAGCCCTGTTTAGGGAAGCTTTTAATATTTGATGAATTATTGTATTTTGCTGGAAGCCGCCGAAAGTGGCTGGGGCAACCCAGTCAGATGGGTGGAGTATTTTGAATTATTTTGAGTTTTGCGTAAGGAATTAAGTGGTAGAATGGGAAAGGGAAAGAGAAGAGAGAGAAAGGAAATGGGCAGCTTCTGACTAGGCACTGGGCCTTGATGTTTGAAGAAGCCATCCACGTTAACATAGAATAGTGGTTGTGCTGTGGGTGGATGTGTTTAAACTATCTCTTCAAGCCTAAAAACTAGGACAAACTCAAAGCTTCCTCTCCTCATTTTAGTGAACCCCCTTTCATTTCAGTGATTATGGGGTAAGTGGGTAGCTGGAGTCTTCAATTTTTTTCTAGGGCAGAAATTACTAGAAATACAGAGGCAAAAGCACATTTTCATAGATGTCACATTATCTCCACTGTGCTGTACTTGGAACAAGGGAGCGGGTGGGGCTGTCGTCTAAACCACCGGTTCTCTTGGGTTTGCCAATAGTAAGGACAGCAGTTTGAATTGGTGTAATGGGTGAGCTCCTGTTCCTCAGTCCCAGCTCCTGCCAACCTAGCAGTTCAAAAGCATACCAGCGCAAGTAGAACAGCATTTCCATGAGCCCTATCACTCATCCCAGCATCCAGTTGTGCCAGAAGCACTTTAGTCATGCTGGCCACGACCCAAAAAGCTGTCTGTGGACAAACACCGGCTCCCTCGGCCTGAAGCAAGATGAGCCACATAGTAAAGTTTTACTTAACCATCCAGGTGTCCTTTACCTTTGCCTTTACTTGGAAGGGCATATGTCAAAATCAAGCACTATCTCAGGGGCATTGTGGGAAAGGATAGGTGGGGTATAAATAAGTTGTTGTTGTTTCCCACTGTTTCCCACAGATTTTGGTTTCATTTTGCAGCCAGCACTTCCACAAAAGGGACAAAGAGTTAAAAGTAATATAAAATGAAAATTCTTAACAATCTAATTTCTAATTAGCAGACAAATCACATCACTTGTAATTTGTCACAGTCTCAAAAGAAATTTAAAGAATGCAGATTTAGCTGACCAATGCTCTGTTAATCTTTGGGGCTATTACATGGCGTTTGGGCACAATGGAGGTTCCACGCACTACATCATTCACCCCATTTGAAAATCCATAACTCCCTTGATTTTAATGGGCCTTCTCTGGTTATGACTTGGATTAGACATCACCGTTTCAGAAACATGTGAGTATAATTAATCATTTTTATTGATTTAAAGTCCTTCTGTTTCCTATTTTCTTTCTAAAATCCAGTGGTACATGAAAGACAAGAAAAGAAGAAGGGACTTAGAAAAGGCTTTGGCTGAGATAAACATGTTTGCCTTAAAATATTACACAGAATCTGTAATTCAAAGCAAGTGATTACCTCTCCTGTAATTATTCAGAATTACATCTTCTCCCCTTCCCTAGGGACCTCCTCTGCCCACATGAAAAACAATGAAACTAAGACTGGAAGGTCTTATTAATAACTATCAACTATACAGAGTTGGGTCTATAGACATACGGAGATTGATCAGTCTGACTTTGAATCAGCTGTGTGAGTGACCATTCGAGTTAGCCTTTGCTGCTCAGGATATCAGGAATGGCAGTAGCAGAAAATGTGAACTTGTGCGTAAATGAAGAACCCCTTTCAAGATGGTAGTGTTTCGGTTGCTGGTGCTCTTACTGTTGGTGCAGCGGATGTGCACATTTCTGCATATTTCTCAATGTTCCATCAGAGAACCTGTCCCTGTTCTTCACAAATATTATCAGTCAGGAGATCTCATCATTGCCGGCATTATTTCTCAGATCTACATATTTTCAGATACCTTAACCTTTGAAAAACACCCATCTCAGGAATTTTCAGATGACCATATGTAAGTAGCTGGATTTGGAGGGAGGCGGGGACATAGTATATCATAAATAAATTTACAGCCAACCCAGCCTGCCTGTTGGGATTTGCCTTCACCTGGATTTGCCTCCAATGGAATGAGAAATAGTTGGACCTCATTTCTTAACATCCACCACATTTGATCTTACAGGCAGGAATCTGATATCTAAACCCATTCTCTGGAGGTTATGTAAACACAAAATGGCAATAAACAGTGTATTGAGCAAGATAATATTTGTGTTCTCTCTCCATTTCACTTTGGGAGATTTGACAGAACTCCTGGAACTGATTTAAATAGGACTATTGATGGGATGCGGGTGGCGCTGTGGGTAAAAGCCTCAGCGCCTAGGACTTGCCGATTGAAAGGTCGGCGGTTCGAATCCCTGTGGCAGGGTGCGCTCCCGTCTCTCGGTCCCAGCGCCTGCCAACCTAGCAGTTCGAAAGCACCCCCGGGTGCAAGTAGATAAATAGGGACCGCTTACTAGCGGGAAGGTAAACGGCGTTCCGTGTGCTGCGCTGGCGCGCCAGATGCAGCTTGTCACGCTGGCCACGTGACCCGGAAGTGTCTGCGGACAGCGCTGGCTCCCGGCCTCTAGAGTGAGATGAGCGCACAACCCTAGAGTCTGTCAAGACTGGCCCGTACGGGCAGGGGTACCTTTACCTTTACCTATTCTAAAAAGGTCATTGAATTTCATGACACTCTTCATATCCACATATAGAAGTTAGTATTTATTTAATTTTCATGTCCTATATCTTTGTTGTGAATGCAGTGAGAAACATTGCAAAATTCATTTATTTGCTGTGAAATGAAGGTATACCCTGACTAATTGGCATTGCTTACTCAAATTTGTGAAGGAATAAATCAGATTTTATCTTGCAAGATTTACTGTATTTCACAGAACACAGCAGTCAAAACTGCTAAACCACTGGCCAAGTTCAACCATTATTATTTTTTAGCCTTCCCCCTTTACTAAAGCCTAAGCAGTTGATTAAGAAAGCACATTCACTGCTGGGGATAATAATCATTTGAAGAATAGACAGGGAGTGATTTTCCTACTCATAGCAATGCTGGCTTGGTCACACATTAGTCTATACAGGTCAGTCGAAGAATTTAAATTCATATTTTGATTTACCCATTTCAAATACTCATTTTTCTATTACAAGCTTTATTTAATTTTTAAACATTTACCAAGGATAAATATTGGCTTCCAGAACAAATGCTTATACAGATGTCGAGTCTTGCACGCAGACATCCACATGGCATCAAAACAGGCTTGAAACATATTTTACATTAGAAAGTAAACACACCCACAGGGTATACTTAAAACTAGAGCATGAAGATAATTTCTCCATAGTGGCTGCTGTGAGCCTACGCAATTTTTAACCCATTCTTAGAAAAACCCAAACAAAAATGCTACATTGGTATTTGCTTATTAGGCTGTGAATTCTGTGTGAATGAAGAACATGCAGACTACAAGTAACTTTTGACCAGCAGATATTAAACATACAAAACACCTCATCCAGATTCCCTAGAGGCCAGAATAAATAAAAACACCTTATTGAATTATGTCTTCTATAGATATACTAAGAGACTCTCTAAGAAGTCCTGGAAGTTGAGATGGTTTTAAGAGACATCATAGATTCATGAGCCAGTTTACTTTTACACGCCTGTGAAATGTTAGATTACAACCTGTTTTTGTACAATATCTGAACTGGATACTGAACTGAAAAGTAATCAATGTTACGATCTGAAGCAGATGAACCTTGATGCAGCATGTAACTCTCAATACAGGGTGCTGACTCACCTCTACCAGCACATCCTGGCCTTGGCATTTGCTGTAAAGGAGATCAATGAAACTCCCAGATCTTGCCCAACGTCACCCTGGGCTTCCACATTTATAACAGCCATTTCAGTGCAAGCTGGACCTATGAAGCCTCAATGGAGCTTCTCTCAAGAAGGGCCAAGGCCATCCCTAATTATAAATGTGATGCTGAGAGCACTCCAATAGCAGTCATTGGGGGACCTAACTCTAATGTCTGTCTTCACATGACACCCATCCTGTCTACCTACAAGATACCGCAAGTAAGATCTAAATACATTCACACCTCAATTTCACTGAATTCACGC